GATGTTGCATACCAGGTATCCCCCTATTCCTACATTTCCGAATATCGTGTTTCCGAGAGAAGTAAGCGAAACCATATTATGTAACGCTACATGCACCTATTTTCCAGGGCTTTGCTAGTGGAAGCCTTGATGAAGATGCAGCATCTGTGAGATTATTTGCTGAGCGGGGAATGGAGTTTTTTGTTGCTCAGTCATATAGTAAAAATTTAGGTTTGTATGCAGAAAGAATTGGGGCAATCAATGTCGTGTGCTCCTCAGCTGATGCTGCTACAAGGTAAAACTTACTCTAAATTTTCTTATCATGAGCCTGTTGCAAGTGATCCTGGAGTCTCAGTTTCTATCTTTACCGTCACGAACCATATCTAGCTACAGGTTTTATGGAACCTTTACCAGTAACACTACTTGCTTTCAGGGTCAAGAGCCAGTTGAAAAGGATTGCTCGGCCTATGTACTCGAATCCACCAGTTCATGGGGCGAGAATCGTGGCCAATGTAGTGGGTGATGTAACTATGTTCAGTGAATGGAAAGCAGAGATGGAAATGATGGCAGGAAGAATAAAGACGGTTAGACAAGAGCTGTATGATAGCCTCGTTTCAAAAGACAAGAGCGGGAAGGACTGGTCCTTCATTCTGAAGCAAATTGGCATGTTCTCTTTCACCGGCCTAAACAAAGCTCAGGTATGCCAACAATGTTAATACTACACAGATTCCCTTTGGCCTTGTTTAGACTTGTGGTTTGAAGTTTGTGCTGTTTTCTTTTGGTAACGAGCAGAGCGATAACATGACGGACAAATGGCATGTGTATATGACTAAAGACGGGAGGATATCATTGGCCGGATTATCTCTGGCCAAATGCGAGTATCTTGCTGATGCGATCATCGACTCATACCATAACGTAAGCTGAGCTTCCATCTCAGTAGATGACAATAAGAAACAGTTTTATATACCCTTTTTAGCTTCTTCTTGATCTTTGATTGAAACCAGATGGCTAAATTAATAAGCTAGCATCACACTATGATTGCTAGACAATTTTCAAGGAAACTTTTGATTTGATCGTGTTTGACAGGCCTTGTTGTATTGGGAGACTCCCATCGAGTTATAGAAGAACTTGTTACGATTGTATTTTACATAATTTCACAACTATACTTGACCGGAAGAGTTACAACAGAAATGGTCAGATTGTACAGTGTGATCTATCTTAATACCAGTGCAATTCCACATTGTCTGCTATAAGAAGCATCGACTCACTATCACATTATCAAAAGATTCAAAACCACTAGATATTAAAACCAGTACAATTACTAGCAAGAAATTCTAAAGCTTCTAGTTCGCAAGTAGATGATTAAATTTAAACCCAATCCAGATTCTAGGTTGCGAGAAAAAATTCTTAAGAAACAACTCTACATGGAAGCAAACCAAGAGATACTTCAATAGTCAAATCACACAAATGTTAAGAAACAACTCCCAATACGAAGAAAATTTGGTAACATGAATCATAATAGAGTAAAAGTCTTACAGAAATATGAAAATGTCATAACTTAAAACAAAAAGAAGACTTGAGGAAATGCTAAACCAAACAGATAAAGAAGACTCTTTTAGAAGGCTTATCACTTAGAATCCGAGCTTGGTTCTACGCCAGTGCCTGCGCTTGGCATTGTACCTGAAATTAACCACACAATGAAATCAGTTTTAGAACTAAATCGATCAACTAACACAACTAAATATATCTTCAATTTGATAGATCAGGGAGTAAACAATAGACAAAAAAAAACAAGAATAGTCGAACCTGATGGTGTTGTCGGTACGAAGACGAATCCAGTGAGGAATAGGCCTGTTCTGTCTCATCTTCTTTCCCAACTTCTTCTTAATCATAAACGACTTGTGCGACGGCTGTTACATTTCATTTTTCCAACACAAATCAAAATCACTAATTTCGTTTCGATATCTAACTAACAACAAATCAAACTCTTTAATCAATCCAAACAGGCGAAACAAACAAACGATTGTAACAAAGATTAAAAATTTGCGAGAGAGAGAGACTAACCATCTTGAAGTCGTGAGATTCGCAGCTGCTCAGCGAGGCAAAAAATACGAAGAAGAGGCGACTAACCTTTTTAAGAAGTTAAAACGATGAAACCCTAGTAAAGTCTTCTTTATTGGGCTTTTATGTGATAACAGTCTTTTTAGGTTTCATGTTTCGGCCCAAGGCCCATGATTTTTAGTCTTGTAGCGAAACGTCAATTTTTTATTGGTCACGTTCCCAAGTTTGACACTTCTACACTCAAGAAGTCAACATTTCTTACAACGAAATTTCCTGTTGTAAGATTTTGGGGGAAATGGCTGTTCTACGAAAGCTCTGATATAACCTTTTGTACTCTTATTGATTTACAAATGTTTGTACTTGCTCGTAGGACGTGATTGATCCTAGAGCAAGCTTTATGTCTCACATGTCTGTGAAACAAATAGCTGTTCTTTTCTATCACTGATTTTGACATCTGTAGGCTCTAAAAACACACTACTTCTTCTTGCAATTGTACATTGTGTGCTTAATAGGTTCCAATCCTAGTTTCAAGCATCAGTTTTAGTCACTTTAGTTATTTACTATATAATTTCTTTGTTTGCGTATCTTGCCTGGAACTGTTGTTAGTGTCACTTCTACACCAACTGGTTCTTTTAAGCAGTGCCATCTCATGGATCATTGTGAAACCAAAGATAATTTTGACACATTAAGATACAGAGCCAAATGTTTAGTTTTATTGACCAATAGACTTATTACAGAGCCAAGATAGAGCATACGGACTGTATGAAAGTGAGAAGGAGAAGAAGTAAAGCTGCAAAAACAGAAGCAACTGCCCAAGGATTGTGGAAGTAGTCACGTCTCAGAATCGCCTTCCACTTGTTCCATGGTGTGTTGCAGTAAGCTTGAAGGTTCTCAGAGAGCATCGAAAAGTAGAATCTTCTGTCATAGATAACCTCTTTGCTGATGCTATTGAACAAGTTTGAAACATCTACTGAGTTCCCGAGATAGTTTACGATGATCCCACTGTGGATGAGCAAGTCAGCATCTGTAGGGGATTTAATGAAGCAACCGAGCAGCATGATGTAGTCGAGGAAGTTTTTATTTGAGCAACGACATTGTTCAAACCCAATGATGTTTCTGTAGAGGGATTCCGTGAGATCATCGACGACAATGGTTGGAATCTTCAGTACTCCATCAGCAAAACTAATGTCAAGTAAACAACTACTGGTCTCTGCTGGCTTGAACCTAACACCAGCAGTGTGAAGCTCTGTTGCTTCAGGTGCATTGTCCACTTTCACTGTAGTGTATTCTAATTTAATTGGAAACTGTGGCAGATAACAAGACCTCAGAAGATCAACAAAATGTTCTGGCTCTGTAATAAACTTCTCATCATCAATGCGGCTCAAGAAATAACTGAAGTGGCGTTGCGCGAGCTGTATGATTGAAGGTGTTCCTTGTTGGTAGTAATTCAACAAGAGAAGAAATATCTCCTTCACAACGAAAAAGGGTAACTGATTTTCTATCAAAATCATGTCACGGCACACGTCGGTGATCATCATTGAATTGCCAAATATGCGATCATTCTCGCCTCTAAGTCGAGGATAATGAGACCTCAAAAGAAGTTCAACCAAGAAGCTACCATCTACAACTAACATCTCAACAAACTCATCGCTATAAAGTTTCACATCTTCTGCATAACAGCTGCGAGCATTTTGTTCCCAAGTCCTAGCAAGTCTAACAAGGTCCTCTAGACTAGAGTTCGTTCTAGGGATAAAACTCAGCAAATACCTGTATTTCTGATCTTCCATAGCTTGAAGCTCTTCTTTACCACGATGAAGCGGGCCAAAAGACACAAGCGGAGGCGTATATGCATCAGGATTGAGTCTGCGGAGCTTATTAGGTACCTTGTATATACAGCATTTGGTGGAAAGAGAAGATAAAAAGGCTAACTTCGCTTTGATGGAATCGACAAGGGCGTCACCTTCATTCTGATTCATCCTCTCATATGCAAAGCAAAGCCGGTCTACAAAGAAAGAGAAGAAGAAGATTCTCCAAACGAAGCTAAGCGCACAAACAGTGGTAAACCTTGCAGAAAGTCAACGTTTCACACACATTCTTTTGGACTTTAAGAAAGACGCTTGCAGACATCTCAACCCCAAAAATATCAAACGTGGGTCCAACAAGTACTGCTAAGCTTTGTATACTTCATCTTTAAATAGTTGATTTTAACAAGACAAAGGAAAGCTTTCGAAAGATGATTTGGTGGTGAGGTTGGACAATAACATTTTTAGTTGGTTGTATCATTAATAGATGGTGTCGCTGTGTTATCCATTTAATCCAACTATTCTATCAAAATTGTGAACCACTAGCGAATTCATCATGGTCAAGCACACCAGGGAAAACAAAAGAGCATAATACAATGGAGATATTCTGCCAAAAAAATCACTCCCACTGCCTAAAAAAGCCAGCTTCTGCAGATGAAGTGCAATCGAGAGAGATTTCTTCTGCCGGGTTGAATCGTACTTACGACATTGCACTTCACTGCAGAAGCTGGCGTTGAGGTATCTCTTAGATGATACCAAGAATGAAAACAAGATTGTGCACAAGCTATCAGTCACAACTTTTATAAGAAATAAGTTAAGCCCTCGGATTTGAAATATTCATCAATAAGATATCAGACTACTTTTAACCATTAATATATTATTAATCATCGAAGGGCACATAGAGAGTTAAGTAAACAAAGAGATGGCGCAAAAGGATTGAATTTAGCTTAGCTGATAGAATCCCTCAGAATTGACTAGTAATCAAGGTATAATCAGTCACTACTTTTAACATTTTTTTCATATCATTCATCATTGGGATGCAGCTAAGGTCGTGTGCATCAATATGCTTCATCAAGCAAGCAAAAGCAAAAACTCACCAAATTAACCCACAATGGATGTCCAACAACGGAATGTAAGAAGAAAACAAAGAACAAATCAAATCCCTCAGAGCTAAAATTTCATCAAAAGATATCAGTCACTACTTTTAACATTTTTAATCTTAATAAGTCATCATTGGGATTGCTATAACGCTTCAAATCAAAAAACAAGAACCTTTAAACCTAAATCTGAGAACTAACCAAAATCAAAGCCTAAGGAATCCCACTTCAATCAAAATGGCAGAGCCAACAGTTTCAATTACATAACAGATTTCAACAAATATAAAAACCAGAACGATAATGAAATAGCAGAGACTGAAATCTAGAAACAAAAAGCGAGAAATAGAACAGATCTTATGTATGCGAGCTTTTCACAGGAACGGTGAATTAGGGTTCCAGGGGAATTCGTTGTAGCTGCGGAAGAGTGTCCTTTGATAGGTATTTATAGTGAGTTGTGTTCTGAAAAGGTCAAACTAGGGTTTATGCCACTTCCTGGTTCTGTAATAAAATAAAATAAAATTCATTATTTTTTTATTTTTACGCTCATCAATTTTTTTTCTTTTAATAAAAACTCTATTTGTGAAAATTTGGGACTTATTGCTTAAGAATTAATTAGAAATTTAAAATAAAACACTTGTTGTTTCCAAAATATTTAGCTATTTTACTTCGATTTGTTGATATTCAAACAAGTAATTCGTACAATTTTCAAAATTTTACATCAAAACATAACAAACAAATGTTGAATTCACTCTACAGTTAGTATCTACAGAGAGAGATTCATGATTCTCCTATAAGTAAATTATACCAAGTATAACCAAACGAATGGAGGATATATAACTTGAGAACAAAGCACAAGCACCACCTTCGCATTCATAAACAAGTATATAACTAGCAGCTGTTCAAACAATGAAAAATAATCATGTCTTGACGCTTACGCTTGGAGGATTTTGATCTTCAGCTCCAGATGCAACAGAAGGAAGTCGAGGTCTCAAAGGACAAGATGGAGAAGCAGAAAGAGGAGGATTACCCGTTGATATTGATCTGTTATGTGTAGGAGTATTATCTAATCTTGCATTTGAAGAAGACGAAGATAAAGGACCTGATCGGCTTCTTCGTATTTTCTTCTTCCTCTTCTTCTTCTTCGTATTTTCTCCTTCCAAGAGCAGCTTCCCGTCTTTTCCTACCCGCTTCACTTTAGTCTCGTTCAAGCAAGCCGGCAAGACACAGTTGCAGAGGAAACCTTAAGAAGGTTCAAAAGAAACCAATGTACAACATTACTTATTTGATCCCCTGAAAGATTCTATTGTAGAGGAAGTTTTGGGTTACCTAAGCGAGCAAGACGGTTGACCCAACTAGGGATTGATTTGTGAGTAAGTTTCAAAGAAACATGGTTGCAGAAATGGTTGCAGTTCCTTGTGATGAGATGGTACTTGTTACCCTGATACTCTTCTGATAATTTCTCCATAAAGCTTCGAACTTCTTTAGCCTTCATCTCTGTTTCACCAACAAGAATCGATTTCCTGAATGTGAAACCAGGACACTTCTTTGGCTCCACCTCAAAAATCCCCGAGCTCGATTTCTCGTGTGCCCCGTATCCATACTCAACCCCATGAACTACAAACAAGGAATAGCCAAAACCACGAGAGAACATTCAATATAGGATTAACAACAACGTATGGCGTGTGTGTGACTGAGTCATTGTTCAAACAACGGCCACAAAACTCTACCCTCCTAAGTTGTTATCATCAAAACACATTTAGTCTCTAAATCGATTCTATGACCAAAAGTCAATTCTACTCTTTAACAATAAATAGTTTTCATCGATCAAAGCAGACTTTAGAATCAAACAAAGCCAAGCAACAATACAGACAATGGATTTTTTCAACAATTAATATTACAATCCAACAAAATTGACCTACTATTGTCTCATCTTTCTCCGCAATCTTAGAACAACAATCAAACCCAGAATCGAGAAGGAAAAAAAACGATTTACCTTCGAGACCAGAGTGATAGATCCCAATTCCGAGCCAGTAACCATAAACATTCATTGGGGTAAGATCGTAAACATTCAGATAAACCGGTACCGTACCAGAATTCTTCTTCCGCCTCACCGATACGTTTCTGCAAAACATCTCTCTCTCTCTCTCTCTTTTGACGGCGGCTCAATGCATCGCAAATAAATTTTTAAAAAATCGATTGAGAGGTTTCGAGCAACGGAGAATCGGATGCTCTACCGGATTTTTAAGGGTTCGACTTCGTCTTCGTCAGTTTCTTCTTCCCCTCTCTCGGGGTTTCCTGGAAAATTCGATCGATGCCTAAAAAGCTTATTTACTTCCGTTTCTGTTTTTTCTGTTTTTTTTTTCCCCAAAATATTTCCGCTTCTGTTAATTTACAAAGTTCAAAATTGAAAATGCAGTTTGTTTGTGTTTTTTTTGCCGTCAAATCAAATATATTATATTATACAAAGTTTTACACAATAGATGAAATCAAATAATACATATATTTTAAAGAATACATTTGGTTCCACATTTATTTATTTTTAAAAAGTACACAACGTAACAAACGTACGTTTTATTCAAAATAAAATTAAAAAAACAAATTAAAATGCACCTTCAATTACCATATTGAAGTCATATAGTATATGTTTTTGGAACAGAGATCACACATAAAGCCCTTCCTTAAGACGTGGACTGATCAGAATCTCAAGAGGCGTGGCTTTAGGAATGGTTAAGCCAGGGCTCTCAGTCATATCAACAGGCATATCCATAACAGTTTTCACGTCAAATGATTGAAGGAAACGAGCAAGACCTAAATGAAGCACTTGCATGGCCAATGAAGAGCCTGGGCATGATCTTCTTCCCGAACCAAATGGCATCAGCTCAAAGTTTTGTCCTCTTACATCGAACTCTTTTGCTTCTCCTGTGATAAACCTCTCTGGTCGAAATTCGTTTGGCTCCATATAAACCCTCGGATCTCTTTGGATTTTCCATACATTCACTAACATTCTTGTGCCGCGACGAACGTTGTAACCAGCGACCGTGCAATCTTCTATCGCCTCTCGATGGCCTAAGAGAGGACCAGCTGGATACAATCTCAATGTTTCTTTGATAATCGCTTGAATATACACCAGATTTTCTATGTCTGAATCCTCGACGTTCCTGTCTCTGCCGACGTGGATGTCTATCTCATCTTGTGCTTTCTTTAACATGTCCTTATTGTTTAGAAGAAGAGAAATGGCCCATGTAAGGGTTGATGGTGAAGTCTCACTTCCTCCAAGAATCAGTGCCTGTTATTCAATTTATTATCATTATATGACATACATTAAAACAATATACTTATAAGTATCATCTAATCAGGATTCGCCTAATCACATCAATTTAAGGTTGAAGTAATTTCTTACAAAATAAACATGTTATCATTTACGTCTTTCCACCTAAACTTGTTTATATAACTAACTTTGTATTTTAGAAAACAATAATTTTTGGACAAAATCCCAGTTAATTTGGTTAGGTTTATATATCTAGTTCATCTAAAAAACATCAAAATTTGTGTAGTTAAAGATGTACCAGGCAGGTAGATTTAATGCTAGTAATTGCATCATGTTGAAGATGCGAGAATTTGCCTTGTTCTGCAAGCGACAGCATAACGTCGACGAAGTCTGAATCATTGTGTTTCGTTCCTGAAACTTTTCGTTGTTGTCGATGGTTTTCAATCCATCTTTCAAGGATCACATCTAATTCTCTTCCTGTTTGCTTCATCTCCTTCTCATGTCCTTGAAAATCAAACCACCCTAGTTTCGGAAAAGCATCGGACACGGTGAATATACCGACGAGGTGAAAGAAATTTGCGACGCCCTTTCTGCATTGCCTTGCCTCTTCGGCATCTTCAGGGGATAACGAGCCGCCTCCAAAGTATCGCTTTCCGGCCACCATTCTCACCATCATGTTCAGACTCATATCCTCTAACCAGCTCTTTAGATCAACCATTACTGGTTCTGAACCACCTTTCTTGACCCACAAGGAATACAAATCTTGCATAACTGCATGCATGCATGTGACAATATGTCAATATCGCATCATAACAAAATTAACAATATCGAAAATTATTATTATATACGTTTTTTTTTTTTAATTACCCATTGAGATCTCAGAAACACGGACATGCTTGAGCATCTGAAGCCGCCGGTTAGAAAGTAGCTCGAGGGTTGCGATTTTACGCATCTCACGCCAGAAAGCGCTATAAGGCGCAAACCCGAAAACAGCACAATCGTAACCCATGTGCTTTGCGGCTGCAGTAATAGGACGTGAAGCCAAGGCTTTGTCGTTCACAGTAAAACAATCTTTAGCCACCTCAAAACTGCTCACAACAAATGTTTCACTGCTCCCAAGTCGTAGCGACATGGCTGGACCGTACTGGTCAGCCATTTTTCCTAAGGTTCGGTAAAGAAGCTGTTCCTTGCCACTGAGAAGGTGAAGATGACCGATGATGGGCCACGCACCACTTGGTGCAGGAGCTTTTACATGTTTTGGTTTCTTTGATTTCTTAAAAAGAGCAATAAAAACGAAAAGAAGGATTGGAACAAATAAAGAAAAGAGGGAAGTATCCATAGTGGTTTGAGCGTGCAAAAGAGATGTGTGTTTGGTGATTTCTAGTTTTGAATGATTAAAAAGTATAGTCTGTCTCTCTATATATACACACACATATTATCGGTTCAATACCATGTAAGCATGAGACATACGCCTATCTTACTGCTGTTTGACCAAAAGCAAGTCGTCGAAAGGCGGGGGTCGCAAATTGTATATGGTCAAAAAAAATCGATAGTTACTGACGTACATTTTGAAATAAAAAAAATGGTCGAACATTTTTGAACATTTCTGAATATTTTTCCACCATTTATCTTAACCAAATATTGACCAACGTTATCTACTTGTGTTTAGAAATATTATATAACATTATATTCAAAAAAAAATTGAAATGAAGATATGACTTTATAATACTGAATTCATAATAATAACTCAAATAAAAAACATGTTTTAAAAGATAAAATAAAAAATATATTAAAACACAAATAATTTAAAATACACTAATTATATTTTTTTGTTTTTGTATGAGTTTAAAATTCAAAAACGGTTTTACAATAAATT